TATTGCAAATTTATTGAAGATTATCATTTTCGAAAGCATATATTACTGAGCCATACAATCAAATACAGCCAAATTGTTTATTTATGTTTGATGATATTTAATTTTATAATACTTTTACAAGTTATAATATATACATTTAAATTTCTTTTGCATTACATGTAGATTGTAGATAATAAAAAATAATTGTAATAATAATGATTAATTTTTTTTACAGTGTAGATAGATTTATTTTATTTTAAAAATAACAGTTAAGCAGCATAAAATGTCTCGCTAGATGTATATACGTGCGCAACAATTATTTACAAGTCAAATTTATATATGGATTATTGACTACATTGCTGACGGCAATGCCGCGGGGTTTCCTATTATATGTCGAATATGTATGTTCTTTTCATCCAACGGTCTTACGATTAATTGTAATTTTTATATCTTTTATGAATGACTCTTTGTTATCCGAATTATTATTTTTAATTAGCACGCTGATGATGAGCGCCGATCAGGAGGTAGGTAGCAAAACGTTCGCTTGTATCTTGTGTGTTATAAATTTATTTTGATTTATAAATAATTGTTGCGCACGTACATCTGTATGCTGCAAAGTGTGTGCGCTCCTTTTATGCTCCTTATTTGTTATTTTTATTTATATTTAAGCCGTTTATATTGTTTATACTCATATTATTTATTTTATTTTATTTGCTCATTATAAAATAATAGCCATTTACTTTCAGCAGCTTCCTGATATTTAAGAATTTTCGTACTTAAAACTGATGTAACTGTCAAAATATGCTTTGTCAAAATATAATAATAAAAATCAAAATGGCATTTAACTGACTTCAAATAACTTTATTATAGAGACAAAATAATTACATATCTTATAGTAATATCTGCTAATTGTAAAACTAAAATGGTTTACACCATAAAAGATTATCACTTTTATGTATAAATTATAATTTTGGATTATAAACGTAATAAAATTCTTCTTTCAGGCCGCCGCCAAGGTGGGAGTTGAAATACCAAGATTCTGTTACCATGAACGTCTTGCTGTAGCTGGAAATTGCAGGATGTGTCTTGTTGAAATAGAAAAGCAAGTTAAGGTATAACACACACCTGCAGGCTTATTGAGATAGTTGAGAAGTGAGAAAATGCAATGTCGATGCAATTCTCTCATTGCATTTATCTTAAATCTATCTTTATTACGCAGCCTGTTGCTGCGTGCGCTATGCCAGTGATGAAAGGCTGGAGAGTAAAAACCAACTCTGACCTGACACGGAAAGCTCGCGAGGGTGTTATGGAATTTCTGTTGGTTAACCATCCGCTGGACTGTCCAATCTGTGACCAAGGCGGCGAGTGCGACTTACAAGATCAAAGTATGGCATTCGGGACCGACAGGAGTAGGTTCGTCGATATTAATTTCTCTGGAAAAAGGGCGGTAGAGGACAAGGATATGGGGCCGTTAATCAAGACAGTTATGACACGCTGCATACATTGCACAAGATGCATTCGATTCGCTTCGGAAGTAGCTGGTATTGACGACTTGGGAACCACAGGTCGTGGCAATGATATGCAGGTAAAGTTAATATGTATTTCACATATATACATATCTACATATACGCTTATATTGAAATATAATTCACTTCTTGTATTAGTATGTCACTTAAAGAGAAAGATAAATTATTTTTTTGTAATTTCCTGTATCATCACAGTGCAGTAGACATAGTGACAAGAAAGAATTTCCGTTTCTTAAAATATTAGACGTATTATTTTTATATATAATACAATGTATACGTATTTAATACTTAACCATTTATTAAATGATGTGTTATATTCATTATAAAAATTTGTACAATATGACAGTTTTATAATGATTTCAAAGGTGGGGACGTACGTCGAGAAAATGTTCTTATCAGAGTTGTCTGGCAATATTATCGACCTCTGTCCAGTAGGTGCGTTAACTAGTAAGCCGTATGCGTTTGTTGCTCGTCCATGGGAGACACGTCGTACTGACAGTATTGACGTTCACGATGCTGTTGGTAGCAATATAGTTATCTCTCACAGAACTGGAGAGGTTCTAAGAATACTACCCAGAGTGAATGAGGTAAATACTACTTAAATATATTTACAGTAAATAAAATATAAAAGGTACACGATTCTGTTATTAGTTACTAATGATTAATTTTATATATATATATATATATATATATATATATATAATTGCTTTTTTCAGGAAGTGAACGAGGAATGGCTCTCGGACAAAGCTCGTTTTTCGTACGATGGGCTCAAAAGGCAAAGACTCATTACGCCAATGATGAAGATCAACGGAAAATTGGAAGCTGTGGATTGGGAAGACGCACTTGTTGCGGGTAGAATTCATTATTTATTGTACTTGTGCACTTGAGATATAGAAATGATCCATATTATATTTCGGTTTGTTATCAAATCATTCAATAACATTTTTCATGCCTCATTATAGCTGCTAGACCTCTAGCGAATGTGTCAGCGGACAAATGCGCCGCGATTGCTGGGAAATTGGCAGACGCGGAAGCTCTTATCGCTATGAAAGATCTAGTGAACAAACTGGGCAGCGAGGGGCTAGCCACCGAACAATGCTTCCCGAAAGATGGCTCGGGCATTGATCTCAGGAGTAGTTATCTTCTGAACAACACTATTGCCGCAGTTGAAGACGCGGATGTTGTAGTATTAATTGGTACAAATCCGAGATATGAAGCACCATTAATAAACACACGTCTTAGGAAGGGTTATCTACATGGTGAACAAACAATTGCTCTTGTTGGCCCGGACGTAGACCTAACATATGAACACGAGGTATTGTTGTTGACTTTTATTTATTATGGGTTAATGATATGTAAATTATTTTACAAAATGTATCTTTTTTTTTTGTTTAAAGCACTTGGGAGATTCTTTCGATGTAATAACGAAATTACGAAGTGGCTCACATTCGTTCTGTGCGACTCTGAAAGAGGCTAAAAAGCCACTTGTTATCTTGGGTGCCGATCAGCTAACTCGAAAGGATGGAGCTAAGATTCTCTACGAAACGCAAGCATTGGCAAAGGCTTTAGGAGATAACTCAAAAGTGAGCTACTGTTTCTGTAATAATTAATAGAAATTAATTTGTAGAAATTGTATTAATTGTATATTTTGCCCCTTAGGCTCCCCAGGATTGGAAGATTTTGAACATATTGCATACAAATGCATCTCAAGTCGCCGCCTTAGATATCGGCTATGGCTCGACCGTAGAAGAAATTAAGGAGCAACAACCGAAAGTTCTGTTCCTTTTGGGTGCTGACGATGCAAACATTAAGAAGGAAGATTTTCCAAACACATTTATCATTTATATAGGCATATATCATCATTTATATAGACATCCTAAAGACATTATATACATAAAATTAGTTATATTTATGTACTAATATCAAATTATTCACTTTAGGAAGTCACGGTGACGCTGGAGCAGCCATTGCGGATGTTTTACTAGCTGGAGCAGCGTATACCGAAAAGGTCGCAAGTTACGTGAACACAGAAGGCCGCTCCCAACAGACGTGCGCAGCAATTACGCCGCCTGGCTTAGCGCGTCCAGATTGGAAAATTATTCGCGCTCTTTCCGAAGTAAATAAATTCGCCTAACAAAATCTTGTGGAAATGTAATCTAATTGTTAAGTAATTGTGTATATATTTTTGTTCAATTGTTACAGTTGGCTGGAATTACTCTGCCTTATGACAACCTGAACGACGTAAGGTCCAGGCTTGAAGAGGTTGCGCCTCATCTTGTCAGATATGGCGACGTTGAATCAGCTAATTTTTTCACGCAAGCTTTGGAAATAGCCAAGGTTGTTGTTGATATCCTGATTGTTGACGAATATAATTGTCGTAAATGTAGAGGATAACTCTATTTTACTACTCTTATAATATGATAACTCTTTACATATTGTTTTTATGTACATATAGCAACAGTCCGGAGGATCATTCTCGTCAGACCCAGTGGACATCAAACACAAGACGTTGGATCAGTTCTTCATGACTGACGTAGTATCGCGAGCGTCTTTAACTATGGCCAAGTGCGTTCAAGCGGTCATGAAGCAACGACAAAGTGCGGTATAAAGAGCCATATTGCACTGGATAAAATTCTCACCTGCTAGTTATTTGATATTATTGGCTAGATATTACGTATCATCCCGCAGCCAATGACAAAATTGATTTACAGGTACACGTTAAAGAAGAATCAAGATGTGTTTATAGAGCTTTATATTATATACTATTGTATATTAAACTATTGAAAACAGGAATTTACAAATGTTAAATCCCTGTCAGTCCCCCATTAATTGTATTGTACATCGTAGTTAGTAGAATAAGTTATTTAAAATAAATATACAATAAATATATTTTTTCTGTTGGATATCTTTATAAATATATAGCACAAAGATTGCACATTAAATTATGTTGAACACACATCGCCGGTCAAAAGTTTCCACCAAATTTAGCAGTCATCAATATTTACACATTAAAGCTGCGTTCCGTTTTAATCCGTTCACACGCTGTGAACATGATTTGTTCTTGTTTAATTAACATTTGATAAACAATAAGAATAAAACGATGAGCGCTGTAAACGCCATAAACGTAAACACGGAACGCGCAACCCAAGTAAAATAAACGTTTAATTGTTTTTTAGACTGTCGACCTTGGAATCTGCATTTTCTTTGCTTGAACGGAACGCTTTTTTTTTATGCAAAACGTTAACAACAACTTGTGTTTCGCGATCTAATAACCTAAAGTCGATTTCTTTCCCACATCATTTTATACGCATGTATCTTATTTAAGAAAAATAATCGAAAGATACATTAAGAGTAATTCCTTCTAAACTTAATATACTCTGTAAGTTTTTTAAGGATAAATCATGCTTAAAACGGGAACGTAGCTTTAATGTAGATATTAAATTGCTAATTTTGTCCGCAAATTTCTGACTAGGAGTGTACGTAGGTTGGCGACAATTACTTCAGTTCAAATGTAATCTACTCTTTTATACAGTTAATTACATTTAATTTTTATAAACTACCTCGAATATGTTATAAAACGTAATTACTCAGAATTAGAATAATATTATGGTTCAGTTTCACTTAAAATACAACTCTTTTAATTAAACATTGAATTTTATACATTTTAGCTTCTAGAGAACGCGACGTCCATTTATACAACTATGTGTGCTTCCATTTGTGTACACATTGCAAATATTGTGTTGCATTTGCTCATATATTTTGTGTTTACATTATTTATGACACACATTAAATGAAATCTTAGAAAATCTGAAAAAGAAACACACACTTGCTCTATGACATAAAAATTCTATTATTAATTTATATGAAGGAACGTCAATTAAATCTCATCTCATGTCAGTTACTTGATTCTGGTTGATCATCTGTGTCAAGTTCACCCGAACTTTCATCAGATTCAACCTAAAAAAAAAGGAAAGAAAAAAAATATATTTTACACTTATCATGTATTATACAAAGAGCAGCTTCATAAAACATACCTTATCTCCTAATTCAATTAATCTTTCTTTATACAGTGTAATTTTACTATCTTGATCTGTCAAAAGTTCTAAAAGGTCTTCTTGATCTTTTTTCAATTTCTCAAACTCATCGTTCTTCAATTTCAATTGATGCTCCAATTCTGTTTGTTTGTTTACTTTGTCCTTCTCATTGTGCTGTTGCATTATATGCATATATTCGGTTAAACGATTTTCTAAATCTGCAACCATCGTTTTATACGTTTGCAATTCCTTTTCCAAATCTAAATTATTACTAGAAACAATTGTCTCCTTTCCATCTCCTATATTAGCTTGTGCAGCTCGAAGAACCAAATTTTGATCTCGTAGATGACTAACAGTTGATCCAAGTTCTTGCACTTGTGCCTACAATAACGTTAACAAATTTTTTTGAAAAATTTCTTCTATTTTGAACTGATTGAATTGGTTTTTCTCTAAAAAAAAAAATTCAATCTCGCTACCTCAAGTTCTTGTTTTTCTTTTGTCAACAAATCATTAGCTTGATTTAACCTTTGAATTTGTATATCCTGTTCTCTAATAAGGTCTTTATATTGTGAAACCAATGTATTATCAGGTAAGTTCATTACAGATAACTGATTCCTATTTTGATGTTCATTGTTAGCATCTATCACCGATTTTATTATACCACCTAGAAAAAAGAAAAACCACCTAGAAAAAAGTCTTAACTGAAGCATAAAAAAAAAAAAAAAAAAAACAGCTGCCAATATTAATTAATTTTGTCATTGTAAAAATGTTAACATTTATTTAAATATATTTTATAATATATATTTGTTTTAATATATTTAAATACCTTCTAAACTTTTTAGTAACCTGCAAAACTCGTGATCTAACAGAAGCTCCGACGGATTTTTAGCCGAAGGTTGTGGATGTTTTAATGTTCGAGAATATATCTCGTGTCTGGCAATACCACCGATCGCATCTTGAAACCTTTCCAAACCTATTCTATTCTCGATTAAATTGCACACTTTTTCCTGCGAAATAATACAGAGAAATTATTAGTTGCACGTTAGTTGCACTTTATATACCAGATCGGTACAAATATTGGAAATATATTTACTTTTGTATAAGTAGAAACGCTATCGTCGTTGAAATGCACGCAAATACCGATAAGCAAGGCGCACATACTCTGTAGCAATGTCTCTTGTAAATCATCGTTATTTTCTTGCGATGACAAAAGGGCTGTTAAATATGCTACCGAAGAGTCGATAGCCAGGAATGATTTTACCGCGAGCGGACAGTTGGAGGTCCAGCGACAGAGCAGAATCAGCAGCCCCAATTTACACTGCGTTTTGTTACCCTGCTGCAACAACATAACGCACTGCTGCATAAGCGTCACTGGTGGTTTCCCAATATTGGTTGCGAGAAGTACTCGTAGCAGTTGCTCCTTTTGACTTATGTTCTCGATCAGGGCATGAGACAATGCCACGGCGGAGAACCAATTTGACAGAGAATCTATAGAGAATAGTCCGCCACACAGCAGCTGTCCTAACAAAGGCAATAGACAGGCAAAATAGTCTTGTTATTTCACAGTTAGATGATTGTCTCTTGAATTGCGGCTAGGGATATATTCTTTAACATTTTGTAAAAAAAGAACCTGTAGTTAGCGAAGGTGCCTCGTTGCCTTGCGGTAATAAAGTCTGAATTAACTGCGTCTGTCCCACCTCGTTCTTATACAGGAAGCATTGAAAGCAATATAACACCGAACATCGTAAGACAAACGGTTGTTTTTCATTCACCATGGACATGAGTAAAACCACGATAGCCGGCCTATGATATACTTGTATGTATATATAATTTGTAGATGGTTCTTTTATTATTCTGAATAATAAATGTGTGTATAAAAATGGATATGCTTGGCATATCTAAAGTATACCTTGGGGGAGTGCTCGGTGCCATAACACCTGCCAAAAATTCCTGATTACTAGCGTTCCCTCTTATTACTTCCGCTACAGTGTTGATAGTCTCTGTTAAAACATCCGCCGGTACACCGCTAGCCATCAATATATCGCACAATGCTTGCAACAATCCACACGCCCTCATAGTTCGTTGACAAGCTGCGACTGCCTTCACACGTACAATTATTACAGTTATTTATCAATTAATGATAACAACGAGACCAGAAACATTGTTGTTAATTTTATTGTACACCACCATTATTATTTTTCTTTACCTGAGCAGGAGCACTCGGAGCTACCAATGCTCGTACAACTTGTATCATGCAGTGAACATTCGCCACTTTCTGTGGATTCCATCCACCAAGATTGTGGTCCTCCATTTCATTTGGAATTTGAAACATTGGTGTCAATTTCTGTATGTAGCTACCTGCATAATGCAACGTAAAAATTATTACAGAACGGCGAGACTGTACAGATGATAAAAAAAAAAAAGGTCAGAGAAATCGAATTATAAAGACATTATACCTTCCTTAAAGAAGTTTTGGTTACTAACGTTGCCTCGGAGAAGATTCAACATCAGTAGGAGGCAATCTTCCACAACAATACCACCATCTGCATTGCCCTCTTGCTCGATAACATCAACGATACGATCAAACGCATTTTCAAACGCTACTATCTTTTGTATGTTTGCATTGCCTTTCGTTAGTTGAATCAGCAGCAATAATACCTATATGACAGAGATTTATAAATACGTATCGCAAGCAAAGTGGTGTTTCATCATTCCACAGAAGGGGAATCACTAAAAAATAATTAAGTTAACATACATCATTGCGTATAACTTCTCTGCTGTCGCTCAGCAAATCCATCAGTTTAGAAACGCCCATAGGACTGACCAAGATTATCTCTTGGATGTCTTTGGATCTGTTGGCCAATAAATGCGTCAATAGCTTTAGCGCCGGCCATCTGACGCGAAAATCAAACTCTTCGAGAAATGTTAGCACCAAACCAACGCTGTCGGGATGCTTGATAAATATTTCCGTGAATTGTTCCCCTATTTTGTTCTCGGGACCGTGTTTGTCCACTAAAATAAAATGCAAAGCGAGAGGTTAGATCGATTGTCGCCGAATCGAGGACTGAAGCATGAAATTGATTGCACCAAAAGAAAGACGCGCGCAAACTTACCCTCTTCATCGAACGTCACAGGATTCGTTATGTTGCACAGGGTATCCAAGGCCAGACCGATTATCTCGCAATCCGTTCTGTCCATCTCCAACACCTGCCTGAGCGCGTCCATTCCTTGAGCACCCACTTCTACACGGTACGTACGGGACAGTGCCTTGAGCGCACGGCAGGCATCCCTTCTGTCGTCGAGCAAAGTAGAAGACTGCAATCTGTCCACTAGTCTCTCCACCTGCGTCGAAACGTACGTAGAAGGAATTACTAATCGCAAGAGCAACTGCAGCGTAATATCTAGAGTTAATTCTACTTTTTCAATTTTGTTTATCGGTAGAAAACTTTATGGGATAATTAGCGGTGACATAATGCACGGCGTTTATCCAAAACACAGGAAGGTAACCTATGTTACACGTGAAACAAAAAATATTCATTCGATACTACTCACTGTATCGGCACCCGTTGGCTGTGTACCGGCGGGGGGCGTCCCTAAGACGGATTTCAGACTGCTTTTGAAATATTCCATTTCTCTTTTTTTTTCGACGAGCTTGTCACCGCCTGTCAATGTAAACTACACGTCACACGTCGACATTTTAAATCCAATAGTCATAACGATGCCGCTTACGCGCTAAGCCCTTTAAATGCATTTAAACCATGAACTATGGAGGTATATAGAGGGGCGTATACAATACAGGGAATTTTCTATCAAGGTTTTAAAGCGGTGTCTACAATGAGACTTAGGGTGCGTTCCCACTGAGCGCGTCATGCGTCGCGTTATCCGAATTTACCAATCAAAACATCCCATTTTATTGCGTAATTTGCCGCGCGATCTCTAGAATGTCGAGTAATCTAATCGAT